ACCACTCAGTGCCCCCACCATTAGGGCCCAGTGATAATCTCTGGACATCTCAGCCTCCATTTCTGGATCAATAGGTGGGGGTGTCAGGGGCTGTAGGGTAGGAGGTCCTTAGGGGTCTCTCCCTCTCTCTGGCCTCAACCATAGAGCAGGGGGAAAGGCAAAGCCAGCAGGATTCTCCTCCATCATCTCACCACAGTGCAGAGGCACAGAGGGTCCAGTGCCCGCCTGGGTGACAACTCCTGCTGGGGGCAGCCCCAGTCCGCAGGCTCGGCAGCCCTCCACCTGCAATCCACTCCTCCTCCTCGGCCTCCAGTTCTGCCCCAAAGCCTCTTGTGCCCCGCAGCACGACCCCCCCTCCCCCGCCTCCTCTGCTTGGCTTTCCAGGCCTCCCCTCCCTCCCAGCCTCCGAAAGGTGGAGGGAAGACATACCTGAATTGCCCTTCAGTCTGTTCTCTGTGCCTCTGCCGATCCTACCACTTGGATTGCCCAGCATTCCTCGCCCGTGGTCCACGCCCAGCCCTAATGATCATCACCTGTGTGGTTCTAATAATGGCATGGCCAGTCCAGCAGCTGTGAGGAGAGATGGTGTGTGTGTGTGTGCGTGCGTGCGTGTGTGCGTGCGTGTGTGTGTGTGTGTGTGTGTGTAGGAGGGGCTCCTGCCCCCCCACCATGGCCTCTGCCCCATCGGCCACACCAGCCCAGCTGGGGCCACTTAATTTCTGGCTTGTGAGTCATTTCATGGTGATTTATGGCTCCTCAGAGGCCCCAGGCCAAAAACTCACATTTTATTTGTTCATTAATGGCCATCCAACCACCTGCAACCTGGACAAAGGTCACCGACACTGTGGTCTCTTCCCATGGCCCATAAGCCACCCAAATATGGTGTTCAGAGGCCACTGGAGCAGGCCTCACCATCCTCCCCCTGATGCCACAGACTGAGGGAGGGCCCAGCACTGACTGCACACAGTAGGCGCTCAGTAGATGCTTGCTGGGGTTGCTGACACTGACACCAGAAATGCAATTCTCTTTCCTAATCATGCAGATTCCACATAAATATATACAACATTCATGCATTTAAGCATTTAGTGAGCGACTACTGTGTACCAGACATGCTCTAGGAACTGGGGACATGGCAGTGACAAAGACAGACAAAATCCTTGCCCTCAGGGACTGCCTGGCTAAAGGAGGCGACCATAAGAAACTGAGGTAAATAAAGAAAATATGGGGCATGCCTGAGGGCTGATGAATAAATGCCAGAGAAGGAAACCATGGAGGAGGCAAGAGGGCCTGAGGAGGGGCATGTGAGGAAAGCCGAAAGGAGGTGAGGGGTCCAGGCAGGGGCACCGGGGGAGCAAAGGCCGGGAGTTGGGAGGTGGGAGCCCCCCAGAGAGTAGGAAGATGTTGGGAGGAACAGGTGGGAGGCCTGGAGCTGCTGGGACTGTGGCCTTTCCTCCGAGTTGGGGGAGGGGGGATGGGGGCCTCCAGTTCTGTGGCTGTGGTCAAGGGGCCTGTTCCCACCCCTAAAAGCCAGTCCTGGTCACAGTACCTACCTTCCTTCCTGGTCACAGTAGGGGGATCCAAGCACAGGGCCCAGGGGTGTAGACAGGACACTGGGGGCCCAGAGAAGGAGCTGGAGAAGGGGCTGTGGGGCCCCTGTCCTGTGATGGAGAGGCTGTCCCGCCCCCACACTAACACGGCCATGAACTGAGGGGGCCCAGGAGGGAGGTATGGCTCCACAAAACAGCCGGAAGGGCAGGACGAGCTCAGAGTCCCCGCCCCGCCTCCTGGATTCCCTGCCCAAGATGGGGCACCGGGAGGGAAGTAACTTCCCTCTGGAACCTCTAGTGTGGACGAGCTCCGCACAGAGACCACATACGATAGCCCCAAACCGATGGTCACCTGGGCCTTCAAGGCCTCGTGTGGCTGGGCCCCAGCTCTGCACAGCGCAGCCTGGGCAGTGAGCAGCCACTCTGCACACTGACGGTGGCCCCTGAGGCCATGATCAGTGGCCACTGAGGGACGGGAGTGGTTTTAGAGAAACCTGGGCTCCAAATGTGTCTGGCGTCTGGGGTTGTGCAACACATGTGTATGTATGCATGTCTGCGCGTGTGGCAAATGACAAGTCTGAGGGGGGACTGTGGCCAGGCACTGGGTCCCAGTGATGCCCCAACAGACCCGGTCTCTACCCTCAGGGAGCTCCCAGCCGGTGGGGGAGATGGACAAGAATCAGAGATTTGACAGCCAGGAGTGTGGGGTGAGTGGCCACTTGGCCAGGGAGGTCAAGAGGTGACATCTGACCTGATCTGAAGGAGCTGAGAGGCGGGCAGTGATGTACCAGGCAGGGAACACAGCAAGTGCCAAGGCCCTGAGCCAGGAACACAGCTATTTCTGTATTTAGCCTCCAAGGAAATTTTTTCTGCTAAAACTGTCTCAAAAATAATAAGTGGTTGTCATATTGCAATTTATAAATGTGTAATATTGCCCTGGCCAGTGTGCACAGTGGTTAGAGCATCGGCCCACACACCATAGGGTTGCAGGTTCGAACCTCAGGGTGTGTTTTGGAGACAACCAATTGATATCTCTCTCTCACATCGATGTTTCTCTCTCTCTCTTTCTTCTCTCTCTCTACTCCCTCACTCCCGCCTTCCCTCCCACTCTCTCTAAAAAAAATAAATCAATGGAAAAAAGATCCTCAGGTGAGGATTAACACACACAATAAAAACTAATCATTTAAAAATCCTTGGAATCGCTAAAAGCTGGAAACAACCTAAAAGCCTTCAGCAAATGAACAGGTAAACAAAAGTGGCCCATCAGCAGCTGGAATACTCCTCAGCCACGAAAAGGAGCCAAGCGCCGACACTCACCACAGCATGGATGGACCTCGAGCACGTGATGCCAGTGAGGGAAGTCAGACATAAAGGCCACACGGTGTGGGATTCCATTCATGTGACATGCTCGGGACAGGCACATCCAGAGACAGAAAGTGGCTTCATGGCTGTCAGTGGCTGAGGGTGACTGCTGACGGGGACAGGTTTCTTTTAGGGGTGATGGAAGGTTCTGGAATTACATAGGGGTACTCGTTTCACAACCCTGTGAATATACTAAAAGTTATGCAGTTGTACATTAAATGAATGGATGGTGTGACATGTAAATTATATCTAACTAGGGGCCCAGTGCACAAATTCATGCACCTTGAAAGGAACTGTGGGCTGTGAGGCTGCGGTGGGCACAGGGGTGGGTCTTGGCCCATCCTCCGCACTCCTGCCCGGCCCCTCCCGCCACAGCCCCCTGGCCCCCTCTTTGCCGGCAGCCCTGCTCCCACTGCCACAGCTCCCACAGACTGACATCGCTGATAGCGCTGGCCCCACTCGCACCCACTGACAGCAGAGCGATTGGGGCCCGCACCATCGGCGGGTGAGAGCGGTGGCTGCTGCCCTGATTGCTCCTCAGAGGCAGGGGAAGGTGGAGAAGCCCTCAGCGGCGATTGGGGCTGGCAGCCACTGCTCACATCTCCTGATGGCACCAAGCGATTGGGGACAGCACCGGGGGTGCCTGGGGCGGGACCACAGCACACAGGAGCAAAGAACTATCAGTAACCAACAGAGGCTCACCCCGATGATAGCGACCAGCACCCCACCTTGGTCTGGCACCCCCACTTACCTGCTCCACCATCCCACTGCAGCCGATGCCCGCCATGTTCTGTACGCAACCCCTGGTGGTCAGCGCACGTCATAGCAACTGATTGTTCTGCCATTCAGTCTATTTGCATATTAGGGTTTTATATAGAGAGATTGTTTTTTAATATCAAAATCAAAATCAACTGCTAAGATTCAGCCCCATGATTCCTGCATTTAATTCTCTCCCTCTAGGTCCCTCTGACTCTGTGGCTGGGTTGGGGCCTCGAGGTCCTCACTGTGTGGTGGGGGACCCTAGGTTCCCCCTCATGGTACTCGGCACACTCCATCCGCTGCCACTGTGCAGGGGCAGGCGGGGAACACACAGGGGTCTTTGTGCTGTTCGTTGGCCTCATTAAGAGGCAGCCCCTGTCACCGAGCTCAGCACGGCCAAATTCATTAGCTGAGAGCCTTCCCTCTCGGCAAACTGTACCCAAGACACTGCAGTCCCAGGAACAGCACCAGGGCATGAGCAGCCTCAGAGACCACACACTCTCAGCCCTGCTGGGTAGCCCCCAGCCATGTGCCTCCGTCCAGGCCTAGGGTGGGGAGAAGGCCCCTGGGACTCCACAACCCACTGACCATGCCTTTTGCAAAACCAGAAAGAGATTTAGAGAAGCCAAACTCCCCTGCCCTGGCCTGGGGCAGTTAGTGAAACTAAGTCACACACCAGCAGAGCTTGGTAATGGAGATGTCACAGAATTTGGTTTCTTTTTGTGTGTTTTTTGTTAATCCTCACCTGAGGATATTTTTCCGTTGATAGTTAGAGAGTGGAAGGCAGAGGGAGAGGCAGAGAAAGAAGAGAAACATCAATGTGAGAGAGACACATCAATTGATTGCCTCCCGCACGTGGCCTGACCGGGAATGGAGCCTGCAACCGAGGTACGAGCCCTTGACTGGAATCAAACCTGGGAACCTTTAATCCTCGGGCTGATGCTCTATCCACTGAGCCAAAATGGCCAGGGGTAGAATTTGGTTTCTAAGAAACCCATCATGTGCTCCAAGGGACACTTAATAAGCCCCTGCTGCATACTCAGACCCCGCCTGTCCTCCCTCCATCCTCTCAGGGATCCCTGGGGGATAGGGGGCTTGTTCCCATTTCTCAAAAGGAGGAAACCAAGGCCCATGGGTGGCAAGGAAGGATATAATGCCCCATAAAATGCTTATTCTAGGGCCCGGCCTAGAAGATGCACAGAACAAAAGAACCAATCATGATCCTCCCCAGATGTTCTTCCAGGACGCCCCTTCCTAGCAAGGACCTGACTCCCAAATTACTAGCTCAGAGCACTCCTCTGAGGGTCACAGGCCTAACACAGATGCACACGCTAGAGGTTTATGCTTATTTTATTATTAAAAAATACAGAATCCAAAGTTGATTGTGACGGGAGGGGGAGGCCCTGTCGCCAGCTCCAGGCGAGGCAACACCACCACCCAGGCCAACCCCTACAAAAGGCCCCCCCAGCTGGCACGCCTGGTGGTCTCCCAGCAGCTGTGCACCATATATATTTATATATAATATATATAAAACACAGACCAGGAAAGGTGGGTAGAAATATGAAATCTGTATAAATGTGCTGTTTGCTTCATTAAAGTGTCTTTGGGAGGGGGTTTCTTTTTGGCAGGTCCACCCCCCATCTTGTAGTGTCCTGTTTTCTTTTTTCTTATAAACATTATTAGTCACGGAGGAGAGGAAGAGGGCTCTGACAGACGAACAAGCTTATTGCAAAGTGTGGCTTCTACTCTAAAAAGTCCACCCACCCTCCCACCAAAATAAAAGATCCCCCTGAAGATGTGAGAAAAAAGGAAACTGTCCAGTTCGTCCTCAGGAATACAGTAAAAATAAACCACAGTATATACTTCCTGGCTCTATTTACAGAAATGTAAGGTCTTCTTGGGCTCAGGGGTGATGGTGAGAGGCTGTGGAACACAGTGGGGAGCTGTAATTCGGAGTGGCCGGAACTCCGGGGCCTCTGGTGAAACAGCATGGGTTTTCACTCTGGGCGACAATCCCCAGGCATGAGGAGAGTGGGGCTGAGGGGACGAGAATCTGAGGTGGGTTCAGGGTCCTGGGCCAGAATCCAGGGGTCTCACCCTTACCCTTCTGCCTCATACTGGCCTGTCCTGGGGCATCTGGGGGGTCTGCAGTGGTCTCTAGCCAGGACCCAACAAATGGAGCAACCAGACTAGGGGTTACCCATCCCCATCCCCCAGGGGGCCAAGGACCACCACCACCACCCCCACAAACTAATGTGTTTCCTTTCAAAGTCACTGGCGACAGCATGGAATAAATTAAATTAAAAATTCAAGCCTTTCTGATCCAACCATGAAAAATAAACAAACAAACAAAAAAAACCAACATCGCTGATAGTTTCTCAGATTCTCCAGTACCCCTGAGGAGATGGTCTGGCCAGGGGCTGTACTGACACCCTGCCCCTCAGGCATCAGGGGCTGTTGGCTGTCCCCCGTCACTGGGGCTGGTTCTGGAGCAGGCAGAAACCCCCTGTAGGTGGGGGCAGCACCAGTTGAGGGAGAGCCAGGCGTCTCTATTTGGTCTTGGATTCGGTCGTCCAGGTGGGGCCGGCATCATATGGGCCAGAACTAGGAGCCCAGAAGGGTCCAGAGTACCGGGACAGTGCTGAGGAAGAGCTGACAGCTGCCCAGGCTACTGCACGAATTATTGCTGGTGAAGATGGGCTCAGGGGCCTCATACAGGGTCTCGTCTGGGGCACAAGGAGACAGAACAGTCAGCAGCAGCCCAGACCCCACCCTAAGTGGCCACCCCTCCATCTGCTCCCTGGGGCTTATCCAGACTTGATCAGTGAATGTCTCAACCCTGGCACTCGGGTGAGGGCTGCAGGAGTCCCCTTGTCTCTGGGTGTGGCTATGGTGTTTCAAGAGCTCAGAACACAGGCCCTTTGGTCCATCTCAGGAAACTTCCCTGATGCCCACACCCGGGGGTGATGGCCTCAGTGAGGTGCTTAGCAATGGGCTTCAACCTTCCCTCTTGAAGGTCTGAAATGTCCTGATTTGCAGATGGGGAAACTGGGGCTCAAGGGCGAGCCTGCCCTTGCTGAGGTTGTGGGACTTCGTAGGCTGCGCTGTGATCATCCCCTGACTCTACTGACCACTCGGTGGATTCTCAATGAGGACCCTGCCCGACTCCCTGAGTACTTACTGGTTGGCCGCACATAAACCTTTAGCCGAAGGCAGGGCCGGTCAACAGCATTGGGTGGTGTGGCAGCTAGAAGAAATGGGTTGTGAGTTAGTGGGGCAGAGGGGTCTGGGTGGCCAAGACCTCCTAGCACTGTAACCCCTTTCCCCAGGCTGGTACCCTTTCCTTGACCCCAGGTGGGGATCCACCCATAAAACTCCTAATCATACATCAAAGCCCCAGATACAGTGCCCCCCTTATTTCCCACCTGGGCCCCCCTTATTTCTCCTGCACATGTCCCCTGACCCTCTCTTTGCTGAACTCTAGCCTCAAAACTGGAGGTGTCTGTGTCTAGCTCCATCATGTACAGAGCCAGGTTCAAAGGTGATAGATAAAAATGTTTGTTTTCAATTGACCACCCAAAACTCAGTATAACCAAATGATTAACATGGGAGCAAATCCCTGCTCTCTGGGTTACTGTTGACAAATCACCCCCATCTGGGCTTCAGCGGGCACACAGGAGATACTGTGAAAATGATTATTCCCACCTGGGAGACAACAGAAGCCAGTTACCATGGAAGGGGAGCTGCTTCCACTTCTCCTGGAGCCCACACTACGGAGGTAATATGCACATGGAAATACATGGGGTCTCACACCTAAGTCACCATTATTGATCCTGCTTCCTGGCCAACATGACATGGGCCCTGGAGGGGGGAAGGGATGGTGCCACGGCTCAGCCACGAATCAGAAGGGAGGGGGCTGGCAGGGAGCACACATGTAAATAGCTGTGGGCACCCAGAGCTATAGCCAGGCTTGTCCCCACCTGTCCTCTCAGACTGTCCTCTTGTCTTCAGCTGCCACCTTTGCCCCAACCCCCAGAAGTCCCTTACTCTGGGTGATGAAGATAAAGAGCAGATAATAAAAATAACATCTGTCACAGAGACAGGACAAATAATTACAATGATCGTCTTTATGAAACTCCTATCTCAGAAAGAAAATGTAATTTTTCTTATATTACAGGGCTGAATTTAAACACTTTCTTCCCCCTGCCTCCACCCCTTTCTTCCCTGAATTAAAAAGAAGTCCAAACAGAGCAGAAAAGGAGGAGAGGGGGCCTTGTGAAGTTTAATTTGACACAACAGGAGCCGGAATATTGAGGAGCTGGGTCCCTTCCCTGCAGCAGGGGTTGGATGGTGTGGCAGGGGTAGGGCCAGGGGGATTCCTGCCCCAAACAGGATGTACTGGGCAGAACAAGGGCTCTGCTCTCTCCCCTGGCTTTGACCAAACTCCACTCTCCCACTAGACTCAGTGTGCCTCAGTTTACCCCCTCAGTGCTTTGTGGGGTGGGCAGCGTTGGTCTCAGTGTGGGACAGACTGATGGTTGGGTCATCGGCTCCCCCAGAACAGAGGTCCAGTGCTGATCCCGAGGCTGAGGTTATATATATATATATATGTTCTCCGCCGCACTCTGAGCCTCGGTTTCCCAATCTGCAAAATGGGGACTCTGACAGTGGGCCTCCAGGGCTTGCTGGGAGGATAACGAGCCCACCCAAGAGGCTGACCCCCACCCCGGGACAGAGGCCAGCGCGGGACAAGGAGCGGGGCCGAACAAACCAACACAGTCTACAAATATTTGAAAAATAATCAAATATATGAGGAGACTTTATAATCAATATCTAGTTTCAGTAGGTTACAGTTTTAAGAAGATGAAAGAAGTTTTGTGGATCATTGTTAGGACATGTAATATGTTCACCCCTTCTCCTTCCTCCAGTTCCTTTTTTTCCCCTAATAAATAACCTGAATAAGCTATGGCTCACATTGTCCGACATTAATACAGTGGCTCAATCCAGGCCCAGGCTTACAAAATAAATGTGTCCCATGTTATAAGTGTATTTAAAGGAAGCAGTGCTTAGCTTTGCACAGTCATCCAAGAAAACCAGCACGGGGTTGGAGGCGGTCTTAGGAGACCGCTAGGCGGAAGCTGAGGAAGGTTCGAGGGTGCGAGCCCACGATCCCCGGTCTGGCGCCCACCCCCCACCCTGCAAGTCCCTGGCCCAGCAGACCGGTCAGCTGGCAGGCGCCTGAGCCCGTGGCCTCAACGTGGTTGGAGCTGAGGGTGAGGGACCGCATTCAGGGCAACATGCAAACGAGCAAGTGCCAAGTGATTCGGAAGCAGCTACACCCCCCACACACCCACACACCCACACACACACACACACACACACACCATCCCCACCCTCAGGCCCAACATCTGGGCCCCTCTTGGCAAACAGGCTCCACACAAGCTGCTCCCCCACCAGGAAGTCCTCCAGAAACGTTATTACGGCTTGACTTCGACACCCCCTCCTCCAGATAACCCCCCATCCTGCCCATCAGATGCAGCTTCCTTGGCTCTCCTCCTGCAGATCCGCCGGCCAGGAAGGCGCAAGGTGGCGTGGGGACACAGGCCCGGAGTTCTGGCCTCCCCTGGGCAAGCTCTGCCTCAGTGTCCCCGCAGGTGGTGGGGCGGAGTGAAGAGCACCTCAGGCACTCCCTCGGCCTAGCTCAGTGTCCTGGCTTCAGTCCCAGCCCTACCCCATCCATCCCGTGTGACCCCAGACCGGAGCCTCAGGATCAGGCAGCTGCCCCCCCAGCTCCTGGTCACTACACCGGTTCCCCGACCATGACATCTCCGCCTCCCAGCCCGGACTCCCGGCCTTGCCAGGGAGGTTCCTTTAGACTGGCCGCTGAAGGCCCTCTTGACCCAGCCTTGTCTTGGGAGGATGGAGGTCGGTGAGCCAGAGACGGGCAGCTCCCCTTCCATCACCACCTTGGGTTACAGCACCAGAAGCTCTTAGATCATCCAGACATGGTCCCCAGGGTCTCTGTCATGTAAACGCAGAAGGAGACAACAGGGGGCCTCCCAAGAGGGGCTTATTAGCACATAAAAAGCCTAAGCACCGTGCTTGGAGTGTAGGCTCCCCCAGGCAGCCGTCTTCTTCCTCCCTGTATAGGCAAGGAAAAAGGGTGGGCAGCAGGGAGGGTGCAAGCTGCTGGGATTCCACGCCACTCTCTGTGCTCTTCCTGCGAGCAGCCCCAGCCCGTGGGAGGGAGCTCTATGTGACCCCCATGCCAGGAGCACTAATTGGCACAGCTGGCACCTGAGGGGGTAACAGAATTATCAGATGGTAGGGGCTGGCCCTCTGAGATGTTGCACCAGGCAGGGCAGGACCCCCCAGAAGTGGGAATGAGGCAGGCAGAAGACCCTGCTCACTTGTGCCTCAGCTTCCCCATCCATCACTACAGCAGTGATTTCAAGTCTGTCACTAAGATCCAGGCTGCCAGAATTTCAGTTCTGGGAACAGGAAGGAGCAGATTCTCGCCAGCCTCTTCCCCATTCTATTGGGTTTGTCCAGGGATCGGGAGCTCATTCCACCTCCAGAGAGGTGGGAAGGCTTTTGTAGAATAAATGTGTCTGGCAGCTAGCCTCAGGAAGGGGGATCAGGCTGGGTGGGACCAGGGTCAGGCTGAGACAGGGTCAGCCTTGAACTCTGCCCGTCCCGCAGGCTGCCCCAAGGCTATCCAGGCCTGGTCTGTCCTTCAGCCCCTTGGGCTTGATTGATGCAGAAGCTGCTCCAGGCTTTTTGAAGAGTCATTTTCACTCCTTCCTGGCCCCACTGAAAGCCCCATTGATCAGCCAATCGATGGCAGCGGCAGACAGCCAAGCACCCACTTGGGGACTGGCTAGTACCTATGCAGGGCCCTGTAGGGGAGTAAGGAGGGGGTGCCAGGCTGGAAGGGCTGCCATCCTGGCCCCCAACACCTCTGGGCCTCAGTTCCCCTTCCTGTCCCTGGCACAATGCCCGGGGATGCACACATAGCCTGAAAGAGAGCCTGGCTTTCTTGAGACCAGAGTGGACTTGGGAAAGTGGGGCCACAGCGTGACCCTTTCTCCACCTCTGCCTGTGTCCCCCGTTACGTTTGACCCCCTCCCTCCCACTGCACCAGATGCTACCATCATTCTCTCTTCACCTTCTGAAAAGCATTAGACACCAAGGCTGCTTTCTTTGCTGGCTCAGAAGCCAGACATCTGTACCCCACCAGGTCAGTCCGTCTCCTTGTCTCCCCAAACCCGGGGCTCTTTTCTGAATGACAGTCGGACTCTGTGACCCAGTGGCTCAAAACTCTCTCCACTGCTCAGAATCAAACTGCCCTCCCAGGCCCACGAGGCCCGTGTGGCCCTGACACACTCCCCCTTATCACCCTCTGCCTGCCTTCCAGCCACACCAGCCTCTTGGCTGTTCCCGTTCCCGCCCTAGGCTGTTGCACACACTCGTCCCTCTGCCTGGAATGGTTTCCCCTGCCTCCCCAACCTCATCATGTATCTCATTACGATATCATCATAGTTTTACCTCTACATAGTCCACTGTCTGCCCTCCTGGACAAGGAGGGTAGCCTCTTTTTCCACTCCTTCCTGGTGACCCACACAGACCTTATACATATTTGGTGTTTAATACATATTTGTTGAGCAAACAAAGGCCAAGGATTCAAGGTGTTAGAGTCTTGGAGAGCAAAAAGTGGCCCCCACATGGGGAAAAGAGGCGAGTCCCAGGAGAAGCCCCACCCCCAGCCCCCTTAAATGGGCCATTTTCCCCCTTCCTGGATTTAAAATAGTGACAGCTGTGCCCTCACTGGTTTGGCTCTATAGAGCTATGGCCCTTGGACTAAAGGATGGTGGGTTTGATTCTGGTCAAGGGCACATACCTCAGTTGCAGGCTCCTTCTCTGGCACCGGTTGGGGCATGGTTGGGGCAAGTGTAGGAGGCAACCAATTGATTTGAATCACATCAATGCTTCTCTCTAATTCTCCCCCTCCGGTCCATGCTCTCTAAAAATCAATGGGAGCCGAAACCGATTTGGCTCAGTGGATAGAGCGTCGGCCTGCGGACCAAAAGGTCCCGGGTGCGATTCCGGTCAAGGGCATATACCTGGGTTGCGGGCACATCCCCAGTAGGAGATGTGCAGGAGGCAGCTGATCGATGTTTCTCTCTCATCGATGTTTCTAACTATCTATCTCTCTCCCTTCCTCTCTGTAAAAAATCAATAAAATATATATAAAAAAAATAAAAAAATAAAAATCAATGGGAAAAAATATCCTCAGGTAAGGATTCACACACACACACACACACACACACAATTCCCAGTTCCAAGTTGGGTAGCAAGCCGAGGGCAGGCGCCTCAC